GAGGGGAGCCGAGGGTGCCCGGGGCACCCCAGGGAGTGCAGCAGGCAGGAGGGGAGCCGAGGGTGCCCGGGGCACCCCAGGGAGTGCAGCAGGCAGGAGGGGAGCCGAGGGTGCCCAGGGCACCCCAGGGAGTGCAGCAGACAGGAGGGGATCTGAAGGTGCCCGGGGCACCCCAGGGAGTGCAGCAGGCAGGAGGGGAGCCGAGGGTGCCCGGGGCACCCCAGGGAGTGCAGCAGGCAGGAGGGGAGCCGAGGGCGCCCGGGGCACCCCAGGGAGAGCAGCAGGCAGGGGGGCAGCCGGGGGTGCCCGGGGCACCCCAGGGTACGCAGCAGGCAGGGGGGGGATCGATGGACGACCGGGAACAGCAGTTGGAGGAGTGGTGCCGACTTTTGGAGTTTGATACCCCCATGGCGACTGCGGAGGAGTCAGAGGCGGACGGAGAACCACCCAGTCCGCCTTCCCCATGCCCCCGTTTCCCGTGTGACACGTGTTTCCACACGTTCGCCACGAGAGGGGCCGCTGCGAACCACATGAGGGTATGCCGGGCGGCTGAGGCGGAGAGACGCGCGCAGGCACTTGGCTCGATCCCGTCTCTGGTGGAGACCGACACACAGGAGCGACCGACGCCGCGGGAATTTGGGGACGAGGCGTGGGCAGGGGTTAAGTCATGGGAGTGGGAGGCATTTTTCTGTGTGGAGGCGGTTGGAGGGAGGACAGTGCGCCGGATCCCGCAGCGGGCCCGGTCCGGGGTCTTAGACGCACTCTGTTGCATCTTGAAGCGGCTGAAGAGCCGACCGGGAGATGAAGCTGCTACCCTCCTACTCCTGGCGTTTCCGCGCCTCATCCTAGCCGTGCCTCCCAAGCCAGGCATAGGTCAGAAGGCGCTGATCATAGAGCGGCTGGGGGCCTTCTGGGAGGGGAGGTGGCGGGAGTTGTTCGACGCTGCCATGGCGGCGGCACGGCCAGCAGTTCGCCCACTTGCCTACACGTGCTCTGACCAGGACCCGGAGGCCATCCGCCTGTCACGGTGCCGATCTCGGTGTAAAGTGGGAGAGTGGAGCCGTGGTTTGTCTTGCCTCACAGCAGGAGAGTTGGCTCGACCGTCTGAGGCTATGGTGTAGTCGCTGCGAGGGAAGCACCCAGCTAGCAGTGGCGAGGTACCACCGTGGGTTCGTGAGTTTACTGTCGACGCTCCTCAGCGGCCTCCACTCACGACCGACATCCTGGCTAGAGCTATCCACACAGCTGCTCGCGCCTCAGCTGCAGGGCCATCGGGATGGGTCACAGAGCATCTACACGACACTTTCCTCACGGAACCTTCCTGCCTCTCCCACCTGCTGGAAGTGTTCAACCAATGGGTGGCGGGACAGGTCCCCGAGCGAGCTCGGCCCTGGCTCGCCGCATCCAACCTAGTCGGGCTTTCCAAACCCAACGGTGACGTCCGGCCGGTGGCGATCGGGGAGGTGCTTCCGCGTATCCTCGCTCGAGCTCTCTGCATCTCGCTTCGCCCTGTGATGGCTTCTTATTTTCTGCCGTGTAACCAGCTGGGAGTGGGCACCAGGGCCGGGGTGGAGATTCTTACTCATTCTTTCCGGTCAGCGCTGGCCACTCACCCCGACTGGTGTGCGCTGCAGATAGATGTCGCGAACGCCTTCAATTCGTTTCATCGCCACGCGATGTTCGAGGGGCTGAAGGAGTCGCCTTTCTCAGGAATGATCCCATTCTTGCGTGTCTTCTATGGGACACCTAGCGACCTGTACCTCCGAGCGGGCCCTTTCGTACAGAGTCTTGAGTCGGCACGAGGATCGCGACAGGGGGACCCGCTCGGCCCTTTTCTTTTCGCTTTCACGCAGCAGCAGGTGCTGGGGACGGTGACTAGAGAGTTCAGGGACCTACTTTTCTTGAGCTATGCAGACGATACCTACATCCTGGGACCAGCGGCTAGGATTCTGGAGGCTTTTGGGGTGCTGCGAGAGAGGTTGGAGTGGGTGGGGCTGGAAGTGCAGGCGCACAAGTGCAGGTTTTGGGAGCGTGGAGGTGGGGATATGGAGCGGGCATTGCCTTTGGGGATGCAGCGGGAGGAGGAGGGTCTTACTGTGGTGGGCGTGCCTATTGGGGAGGAGGATTGGGAGGGGGCCCGATTACGGAAGCGGCTTCGCGAGTTGCAGGCGCCATTGCCGTGGCTCCCCCTGCTCGACCACCCCCAGATGGCCTCGCATCTCCTCGCTATTGCAGTTTCAGCACGGCCGATGTACCTGGCCCGGACTATGCCGCCGCGGCCGGAGGTGGTGGAGGCCTTTAGAGAGTGGGACAGCTGTCTGGAGGATTGCTTTGAGCAGCTTTTCCCCCCTGGCACTTGGGAGCAGGATCCCGGCAGGTCTAGGCGCGCACGCATGCAGCTGCATCTCCCTGTGCGCCTCGGAGGGTTTGGGATCCGGGCGGCGGCCTCTTTGAGTCCGCTCTCCTATGTTTGTGGGTGGGCGCAGGCCGCACGGGATATTGCACATTTGGGGGTGGCGGGCGAGGAGGCGATGTTCGCAGAGTACCTCACCACTTCGGCGGGGGCGGAGCTTCTTGACCCGTGGTTTGCCAAGGCCATTGAGCAGTTGCCCGCGACTATACGCCAGGAGCTGCCGGACTTACCCCTGTGTGTGGCGGCCCCTCCTCTTCGGCTTTTCCAGGCGCGGCAGCGGCAGTTGGCTGTTGAGGAGCTCCAGGCACTCCGCCGCTTGGCTCGTGACGATGCCACCCTGGCCCGTTTCACATCCCTTCAGGGCCCGGGGGCTGGTGCATGGGTTTCGGCAGTTCCGGCTCATTCAGATCTCACATTCACTGCAGCGGAGTGGGGCATTGCTGCTGCTATACGGCTTGGTCTCCCAATCCAGCAGCTGCAAGTGGCGGGGAAGTGTGTTTGTGGCACAGCGTATGATGACCCAGCAGACCCGCATCATGCGCTGAGATGCAAGCACCAACACGGTCCATCTCGGGTGCATGATGAGGTGAAGTTTGCGGTGGCAAAGATCGCTAAGGCGTCAGGGGGGGTGGTGACGATGGAGGATAGTGCGGTGCTGCCGGGGAAGCGGGTTGACGTAGCGGTGCGACGACCAATGGCTGGGGAGGCTCATGCTTTAGAGATTAGTGTCGCGGACCCGCTATCACTGTCTCCATCTCTGCTAGGGCAGTGCGGGCGGTCTATAGGCGTGGCGGCAAAGGAGTGGGAGCGTCGCAAAACGGGGGATTACGCGCCTCTTCTTGCACGGAACCGAGGCGTGCAGTTCACCCCTTTGATAGTGGAGACGTGGGGGTGTCTCGGCGGTCGCTTCCGGCGGTGGCTTCGACAGCAGGGGGACGCGCACGTGGGGCTAGCTGTGTCACGGGGGGCTTGTCGGGAGGATGACACTTCGTTCTCGGCTTACCTTTTGGGGTCTCTGAAGGCGCTCATCGGAGTGGCGTTACAACGGGCGCAAGCTCGTGTCATCCTGCTTCGGGCGGCGTCTTCCATGGGGGGGTTGAATGTGGACTTGGTGGATCGGGAGAGGGACGATGTCGAGGTGGAGGGCGGGCCTCTTTGGTAGGGGATCCTGGTTGGGTTTTTTCTTTATGGAGTATTTTTATGGGGCTTTTTATGGGTGTTGCGTTTGAGTTGTTAAAAAAAAAATAAATATAAAAAAAAGTGATGCTTAGATGTCATTCCTGGGGATGGCCAAACGCCAAACGTCTGGACATCCGAGCGTAGGTGCCACGTGCCTTCAACGAGGCAGCCCACCAACGGCCGTGCGACGTTTTCGCACGACTGATGTTCAGTAATGTAGTTGACGGAACGTGCTACTGTAATGGCGCTGTTGTAAACACCAGAATGAGGGCCATATCCATTTGGGGCATAGGAAAAAAAAAAAACCACAGGGATGGTTGCACTGAAGCAGCGGGTGTTTGTGTTGGTAGGGAATTTAGCATTGCATACCCCGTGCGTGCGAGGGTTGTCGATTCAGCAAGGAATATTTTCGAGGGTTCGTCCCCTGGCCTGTTCGGCGTCGAACAGGTCGCAGACGTTTGTTCGCGCACGAAATTCATTGGTGCGCGGGCGCAGATGTACACTTGTTGCCAACGGCACAAGGCTTCTATACACGTCATTGGAGCGGCTAATGTCCAGGCCATCGCCAGGAACGCCCCCTTACTTTCTACTTCCCAGGTTCCTTTCCTGGAAGTATTCTTATCGGTGAACGCGTATGATTCTCGTCAACCTACCCACGTTGTGCACACCGACAGGCTCGTCGTTGTAGTCGTTTTCCGTCATTGTGGTTCCACGTGGCATTGAGCCAATAGGGAGGTCCAAACAAAGCTCCCCCACCACAGTGAACGTGACATGCGCTTCGGCAACTCAACCACGCCGGGATGTGACGAGATCGCCGCGCTTCGATCAGGCATACTCAAACCGAGTCGCGACATTTCAATGTCGTGTATTCCCCCTCCACCCACCCATCCAAAATGTAGCCCTTGGCTGGCATTCTACAAGAGGAAGTGGAAAACTTGAGGGGCAAATGGATTGACCCAGCTAAAATGGCTCGTCGAACGAGAGAAGTGACGGCTGCACGATTCCTCCCTCTCTTGCCTGTGCTGCCGTCAGCTGCTCCAGCTCCCACCTCTGCTCGTGGTCGGTGATAAGTAACCGCTCTGAAACGCACCACCTGTCGGAGAATGCGCTGCTTGGACAAGCTTGTTCGAGCAGAGCAAACGACGCTTGTGGTGGTGTTCCTTACAGCATGCAGAATGCAAGCCGTTCAGCGCGTTCAGTTAGGCAGTGAGACTTCGTCCAGGAATATTACGACTCGGACAGCCTTGGTGCAAGGCACATAGGGTAGAGCTGCTACGCAGCTGCTAGCTGTTAGGAATAAGTAAAATCCTTGTAGCTTTGTTATCGTCAAGCATGCAGCATACAGGGTAAGAGGAGTAAGAGGGGAAAGAGGGGTAAGAGGGCCACAAGGTCTCAAAACTAGTTTCCGATGGCGAAACCATTTCAAGGTTCGATATCGGTTTCGCGACGAAAGCATTTCAGAGCATGGCAATACCTTATTGGTCTCTGTTCCATCGCACTGGTAACATCCTTCCCCGTCGCTACGATAGCCAGTCACATCACGCCCGCGGGTATGGCGTATGCTCAAAGCGCGACGTCGGAAGACGTTTCTCTCGAAATAGTCGACCCCGCCGTAAACGGGCTTGCAAATAGCGAGCAGTTTGACTCTCCCAGCAAGCCCTCGACTACTAATGACGTGAGAGGCAGCGGTGAAAGTGGCGGAAGCACAACGGAAGAAGGAGCGGGGACTGGCAGTGGCAGCAGGAGCAGAGACGACGGCATGTGGGACTGGAGTTTCAGCGATCCAAGCACGTCCGAAGGAGATATCGGTGGAAAAAGCGGCGCGAACGATGGTGGCAATAACAACGCGACCGATGGTCAAGGCCCGTCGGATACCCAAGAAGTGCCTAGTGGGCAAGGAGGCTCAGGCGGTGATGGCGGCGGCGATGGCGGCGGCGACGGCGGCGGCAATGGAGGCGGTAACGACGGGCTAACCACGCAGAAAGAGCCATTTGTGGATGATTCACCCGCCAATCTCAGCCCGAACGCTGACTCTGGAGGTACAACCGATGACCCGCCTGCGACGCAACAGCAACCCGCGGACGGGCAAAAGCCGCAACAAGAGCCCGCGGACGATGATCCTCCGCCCGCGCCTTCCGCGCATTCCGCGCCTTCTGAATCTTCCGAACCTTCCGAACCTTCACCGCCAGAGTCAAACCCCGAGTACGGCAGCAGCGGCGGCGGCGGCTACGGCGAGCAGGGGGGAGGCTATGCGCGCAAGCCTAGCACATCTGCTCCCGGTTATCCTCCGCCGTCCTCGGGGGAGGGGGATGATGATGATGACGACGAGGAGGGTTGTGAGTGCGAAGAGGTGGTGATGGGGAACGCGTGCCCGCCGTCGACTCTTCCTGGTTATAATTACTCTGCGCAGCTCTACGACTCTAAGTACGTCTCAACTCTGGTCCTATCCGGTCCTGTGCGTCATCCTTGTGGTTTTTTTTTTTTTTTTTTTGTTTTGAGTCGACTCAAATGCGTGCCCGCCATCTACTCTCCCCGGTTATAATTACTCTGCGCACCTCTACGACTATAAGAACGTCATTAATCTGGTCTTTGTAGTTTTTGTATTTGAGACGTATCAAAACAGATTTACAGTCTCGCAGCTCTACGAGTCCTACGTGCGTGTCGTCATGTCAGGATCATTCTGCATTGGACCGTGGAGGGCTGCACAGAGCACATGGCACTCGAAGCCGCTCAAATGAACCTTCAAGACGCTTTCACCTCCCAGGCACACTCAAAGTCTGTCCCCATTTGCGTGTATGTCGTCATCTCAGGATCATTCTGCATTGGACCAAGGAGGGCTGGACAGTGCACATGGCGCTCGAGGTTACTCAAACGAACTAAAAAATATCTCTCTCAAAATCTGCTCCCTCGCATAACTGTCTTACAGGATCATTCTGCATTGGACCAAGGAGGGCTGCACGGTGCACATGGCGCTCGAAGCCACGCAAAACTCTGGTGGTCGGGCTGGCTCGGTATAGGCCGGTCCAACCACCCTCAAAACTCTGCCCCCTTGCGTGTTTTGCGATATTTCATCTCAGGATCATTCTGCATTCGACCGTGGAGGGCTGTGGCGCTCGAAGCCACTCAACGAATCCTTGAGTCACTCTCTCAAAAGTCTCAATGCTCTGACTTCCCCCTGTCTTGATGTTGTCATTTCAGGATCATTCTGCATTGGATCGTGGAGAACTGCACCGTACACATGGCGCTCGAAGCCACGCAAGACAGCTATGCGGGGTCCGGCTGGCTCGGTATAGGCTGGTCCGATCACGGCCAGATGGCTCCTGCGGACGCGGTTATTGGTAACACGCCGGGTGTAGCTGCGTACGAAATGACTGGTTACCGGCGAACGCAGGTGTTCCCAACCATGAACTTTTCGCTCGGGTTTGACAAGACTGTTGAAGCAGCGCCGGATTGCTCCACTATCGTCAAGTGAGTGATGCTGCTGGAGTTGACTATTGCGTTGACCACACTCTCATACCACGGCGTCATACCACAGCTCGAGACTCTCTCTCTCTCTCTCTCTCTCTCTCTCTCTCTCTCTCTCTCTCTCTCTCTCTCTCTCTCTCTCTCTCTCTCTCTCTCTCTCTCTGTCCCTCTCTCTCTCTCTCTCCCTCCCCTCTCTTTCTCATCCTTTCTCTCCCTCTTCGTCTCTCCTCTTCCCTTTCTTCCTCCCTCCCTCTCGTTCCCAACACTAAGAAGCCCCTTTCTTTCACTTCCTCCCCCCCCTCTCTCCATGAAGGTTTTCTCGGGAGAATGGCACGGGGGCACAGTCAATATTCCACATCGAGGGGAAGAGCTGGGTCATATGGGCGCACTCGCGCAACGCCATGACCACACTCTCATACCACGGCGCCGCCATGTGAGTCCGCACGCGCCATTCTCGTTGCCTACACCATGGTGGAGTTGATTCTCTGTAACATACGACCACCTGATCTGCTCTCTTCTCCCACCCTGCTCTCTTCTCCCACCCTGCTCTTGACTCCCACTGTGTGCTCTTTTGTTCCCCCAGGGGCATCGCTATTGTGGACTACTCGTGCAACTACCCACCGCAGATCATCCGAGCGCCGCAGAGCAGAACGCCCAGGCCTTGCAGCATGAACTGTAACGGCGATGAAAATAATGACGACGCCGATGATGATCATCATGAGGAGGAGGGGGGATGTGGGTGCCAGTCGTGTGGATGCGGAAACGCTGACGAGGAACACAGGGTGGCGAGGAGATGGCGTCGGTGGCAGATTTGGAAGAAGCTTTGGGAGTTTTACTGGGGTATTTGTCACAACTGTGGTACCAGTAACGGGCAGATGGTCCAACCTAAGCGATCTCCTTTCGGGTGAAAGGTGGTCGTGATACGGGGTGAAGTGTCCATACTGAAGACATGTGGCTTATTGCTAACTTGGCGCATGACACGGGTAAGTTGAAGCAGAGCATGGAAGTCTAACCCGGCCTTGTTACCCTAACAAGGAGATTTTGATGTTTAATATACTGTTACGCAAGACTAGTGCATGGGCTTGTTTTCCAGCTGTATAGTTGCAATAAATCTTGAACTGCGAATATGGTCCACAAGTGGATCTGTTCTTAACGAGATGTAGATCTGTGAATCAGCTGACAAAGTGGGAAGTGCTCACTAGGAATAATAAAATAGTGTGTTATTTAGCTGGGAGTTTAGAGTTCCAAGGAATATAGCAAGGTTCATACGAGGAAGATCACGCAGAAGTATATCGAGAAACTACCGAGCGTTCGGGGGTGCGAAAACGGTTTGAGGCGCTGGCTTCCAATGCTTGCATGCGCTTCGCGTCATTCGTAAATCCATTTCGCTCGTTATCGCCCTGTTTGTGCTTTTCACGAGATCCAGGATACCGTCGTCAGGGTATTTCGTCAATGAAGGCGAAGCAGGAGCTTTGGTTAGGGACTCGGGAAAACCGAAAGCGGTGCTCCACGAGTCGCTCCATCCCTTTCGGTTTGGTAGGAACATTGAAGCGCGTCGCAACTACCAGTCACACACGAATCGCATCCTGCAATGCACAGAAATTTGCCTGCGTGCTGCAGGATTTTCCCTCCCTTTCCCTTCTCTCCACCCGAAGCGCTATCAATTCAAATCCACGCTCATGCTCTCTCCTGAGCTCACGGCGCCTGGTCCCGGTGCTTTCCTTCTCTGCCCACATATCCTACTAGAATCACCACCAATAACAGAATGTAACAAGCAAACACGTACGCGGCGCGGCTGCCCACACCGTCGCCACTTGGCCCTTTATAGAGGGGCTTGCTCTCGACATCCATTGGCTCAGAAGTTCTCGGCTTATCAGACACGATTCGAAAAACGGTGACGCACGTGAGAGGAGCTGGTGAGAGGGTAGAAGCGAAGTAGCGACTAGAGTCGAGAACGAAAAGCTCCAGTGAGCGAATCGAACCAGCCGCCCCACACTGCAACTCGAAGCAGCAGGAGAAAGCAAGCACCGTCGGAACGATAAGTCTTAAATGCCCTCCTGTCTCGAATAGCCCCCTCATTCGTCCAGCTTGTGCTTCGTATCGACCGACTGACTCGCAGGAGACTAGCATTACGTCTTCTCATATCCTAACTAGTAGTGCGCACCTTTAATGAACACAATGATATTCATGGCGCGCCAACGCGGCGCGTCCGCTCTACTCCCCACCCGCTCCGCCCTCCTCATCGTCGTCTTCGTCTCCCTCGGCCTCGCAGCCTCTCTCCCCCGAATCGTCGCACAGACCCCCGTCTGCGAACCGTCGTCGCTCAAGGGTTACGACTTTCAGACGACGTTGAAAAATAGGGGGTGAGCGAAGGTCTTATATGAGGTGGTGACAGCTGTGCGAACCTCCCCCTCGTTTGAATGACTCGGTTGGACATTGATTGCTTCACGGCGCGCGAGGAGTTACATTCCACCGCAAGTTCTCCACACTTGCGCTTCCACCCCCTCCTATCCGTTTCCCCCATCCTCTCTGCTTCTCCCCCCTTCCATCCCCAACTTTTCCGCTTCCCGCACCCCCCCACCTGTCCACCACCTCCACTCCCCCGCTTCCCCCCTTCCCGCAGGTTCCTGTTCCACTGGCATGATGGCTCTGGAGGCGCGAGCCGGCTGAGGCGTCGCCGTGGGATAGTCTGATGGACAACGCTTTCCCCCTCCCCCTACTTCTCCCTCCCCCATCCCCTCACCGCAGGTTCCTGTTCCACTGGAAACAGCCGGGCCCGGGGGGAATATCGATGATGGCTCTCGAGGCGCGCGCTGGCTGGGGCGTCGCGAAGGGGTGGTTCTCCGTGGGATGGTCGCGCGACGGGGAGATGTTCCCCGCGGACGCGATTGTGGGTAATTTACCCCACGGAAACGCGCAGATGTACAGCATGCGCGGGGAGGACGCGGCTCTCGTGGTGCCGAACGCGTCCATCGCGCTGGGCACGAATTGGGGGATGGTCACTCTGCAGGACGGCACGAAGATCATCAAGTGAGTAAGCAAAAAATGACGGGACTGGTTCCACAGCAAGGCTCAATTAAGTTGACGGCTCAACATGAGGGCTCAAGGAGTAATTTAGGTGAACGCGTGCAAGCATCTTGAGTTAAAAAGCAAGCACAAGCCTTCGTTTCTTCCCTCATCGCCGTCGCGCACCCTCCCGATTCCCCTTGCGCGCAGGTTTGCGCGGCGCGGGAGCGACGGGCTGTGTCCGGTGAACATGGACGGCCCCAACACGCTCATCTGGGCGTACTCCGCGGATGGGACGACCGAGTTTGCATTCCACGGGGAGAACGTGTAAGTCGTGTGACATTGTACCGAGTTGACTTTTGACTTGAGTTGACTAAAAGTCAACTCCGGTGAACATGGATGGCCCCAACACGCTGATCTGGGCGTATGCTGCGGATGGGACGACCGAGTTCGCATTCCACGGGGAGAACGTGTAAGTCCCGCGTATGAAGTACAAAATAAAGTTGTATATTAGCATGTAACAACCCTTTGTGCTACAGAAAGTGTGTTTCTGTCTCTTCAAGTGACTCTTCTCCGCGCACCTGCCACCCCCCTTCCACCTACCTTACTTGGCCCCGCTCTGCCTGCTCTCCCTACTTGCGCCAGACTAATCTCCCCGTGCTTCCTGCGCCAACCCGTCTAATCTTCCCCTTCCCCCTTCTCCCATTTCCTACCCCACCTCCCACCATCCCCCTTCACCCTTCCCCCTTCCCTCTCCCCCTACTCAGCGGAACGGCAACAGCGGACATGTCCTGCAGGCGCGCGGAGGCGGAAGACCCGGCGGGCGGAGCTGTGCCCCCGCCAACCCCCGAAGCCGCCCCAATCCCCCCCCAGGCCTCCCCAGTCACCCCCGTGGCTCCGCTTCCGCCCAAGCTGTCCCCCGGCGCGGGCATGGACGGAAGTGTCAAGAAAGAGTCGTCTACGGGGGGGTTGCCTGCGGCCGGCACTCCTAAACCCACTACTCCCGCGGTCGGCACTCCCGGGGTCGGCACTCCCGGGGTCGGCACTCCCGGGGTCGGGAATACCGTGGGCGGCACACCCGGGGTCGGCACTCCCGCGGTCGGCACTCCCGTGGGCGGTGCTCCCGTGGGCGGCACACCCGGGGTCGGCACTCCTGGGGTCGGCACACCCGGGGTCGGCACTCCCACGGTCGGCACTCCCACGGTCGGCACTCCCGGGGGCGGTGCTGCCGGGGGCGGTGCTACTGAGGGCCGCAAACCCCAAGGTTGTCGCGAGTCGCCGAAGGCGGGTTACAAGTTCTTCGTCAAACTGAAAGCCCACTAGTGAGTGGAACGGGGGGGAAGAGGGGAGGGGGGGTAAGATAGGACGCGGGGGGAAGGGAACCGAAGGAATATACGGTACTCCCAAGGTTGTCGCGAGTCCCCGAAGGATGTGGAGGCGCGGCCACTCACTCTCCACCTTTCCTTCCCCCTCGTTCCCCTCTTTCTCCCCTTCCTCCCCACCTTCCTCCCTCCTTCCGCCCGCTCTCCCCCCAGCCTCCTCCTGCACTGGAACCCGCCCAAGCTATCCGGAAAAATGCGGATGGCTGTGAAGGCGAAACCACTCATTCCCCTCTGCGCGCTTCTTCCCTCTTCCCGCCACGCCCCCCTTTCCTCCCTCCCCCAGCCTCCTCCTGCACTGGAAACCCCCAAGCCGTCCGGAAACGGTCGGATGGCGGTGGAGGCGTGGCCATTCACTCTCCACCCCTTCCTCCCCACCTTCCCCCCGTCCTTCCGCCCGCTCTTTCCCCAGCCTCCTCCTGCACTGGAACCCCCCCAAGGCGTCCGGAAACGTGCAAATGGCTGTGGGGGCGAAACCACTCACTCCCCTCTCCGCACTTCTTCCGTCTTTTCCCACGCCCCCCCTCCCCCCAGCCTTCTTTTGCACTGGAACCCGCCTAAGCCGTCCGGAAACGTGCAAATGGCGGTGGAGGCGTGGCCGGGGCCGGCTAGCGCGGGGTGGTTCGCCGTGGGGTGGTCCGCGCTCATTCCTATTCCCCCCCTTCTCCCCAGCCTCCTCCTGCACTGGAACCCGCCCAAGGCGTCCGGAAGGGTGCAGATGGCTGTCGAGGCGTGGCCGGGACCGGCAAGCGCGGGGTGGTTCGCAGTGGGGTGGTCCGCGACGGGCGGAATGGCGCACGCGGACGCGGTCGTGGGGAACCTGGTGGGGGGGATGGTGCGCGGATACGCGCTCACGGGGCACTCCGCGGATGCTGTGGTGGCGAGTTACGTGATGAAGCTGGGGCAGAACAAGGCGCTGAGTCAAACCGCCGAGGGCAGCATGCTGTTCGAGTGAGTGGTTGTGATAAGGTGGGTATGAGTGATGTTTATGAGCACAAACAACACCTGTTGAGCGGATGGTGGCAGAACAAGGCGCTGAGTCAAACCTCTGAGGCTCTTCCCCCCGTCTCACCTGCAGGTTCACCCGCAATGCTACGGACGGCACGGTGCCGCTGAATCTGACGGGCAAGAACAAGCTCATCTGGGCCTTCTTAAGTGACGGCTCTCTTTCCGTCCGCTCTCCCTCCACCCGCTTTCCTTGCCAGGTTCACCCGCAACGCTACGGACGGCACGGTGCCTCTGAATCTGACGGGCAAGAACAAGCTCATCTGGGCCTTCTCCAATGACGGCTCGCACCAATCTATCCCCCTCTCTCTTTCTCTTGCCCCTGCTTCACCTAGATTCACTCGCAACGCTACGGACGGCACGGTGCCTCTGAACCTGAGCGGCAAGAACAAGCTCATCTGGGCCTTCTCCAATGACGGCGCCCACAAGCTGGGCTACCACGGTCCCAACAAGGGCACCGCTATCATGGACCTATCGTGCGGCAGTGGTACGTGTGTTGAGCACTCCCACATGAGCACGTGTGGTGGTGGGGTGAATGATATGTGGCTGGCCTTTTCCGCCCACGCGCTGGGCTACCACGGTCCCAACAAGGGCACGGCTATCATGGACCTCTCGTGTGGCAGTGGTACGTGTGTTGAGCCGTTGTTGGTGGCACGTGTGTAATGCTATGTAGCTGGTGTTGATGTGCCTCGCATGCGATGGGTTACCACAGGCCAAACAAGGGCACGGCTATCATGGACCTCTCTTGTGCGGTGCTGGTATGTGCTGGAGGTGGTGTAATGGGCTGTTGCCATGCTCTCTGTCATGCGCTCTTCTTCTCACTCCACTCACTTCCTCTCTCATGCGCCCTCACCCATTCTCCCATCTTCCTCTCCCCTTTCCCCCCAACCCCTTTCGTTGTGCCATGCAGACGTTGTTCCCCCGCCCTCAGCTGATGCTCCGGCCGACCCTCTCGTGCCTCCTCTTACCAAGCCAGTTCCCAAGCCAGTCACCAAGCCCATTATCAAGCCTCCCGTTGCCAAGCCTGTTACCAAACCTGTTACTAAGCCTGTTACCAAACCGGTTACCAAGCCGATTATCAAGCCACCTGTTGCCAAGCCTGTTATCAAGCCTCCGATTGCCAAACCTCCCCTCCCCAAAACTAACATCACCAAGCCACCAGTTACCAAGCCTGTTACCAAACCTCCTATTGCCAAGCCAGTCACCAAACCTCCTGTAACCAAGCCTGTTACCAAGCCTCCTGTGACCAAGCCAGTTACCAAGCCTCCAGTGGTCCCCGCCCCAGCAGGTTCGGCAGGAGGTTCGGCCTGCCAAGCCTCTACCCTTCCTGGATTCTCATTCGTGGCACCTTTGGTGCGGAACAAGTGAGTGTAGCGAAGGGGATTACAACGGAATAACGAGTGTAGTTGTGCACAATGGGCACCTATTCTCCCCTCCTCTCCATCCTCTACTCCCCTTCTCTCCCGTCCTCTACTCTCCCATCCTCTCCCCTCCTCTTCTCTACTCTCCCCTCTCTCCTCCACCCTGTTCTACCATGGAACTCCCTTTTTTCAATCATGGACCGTTCTTTTCTCCTCTCCTCTCACCCCCCGCATCACCTCTTCTCATCTCCCTTACTCTACCCTCCTCCAGGCTGGCGCTGCATTGGGCGGTGGCATCCCCTACGTTTGTGCGTTTTGCCCTGGAGGCCAGGCCGGGGAGTGGCGCGGAGCAGCTCTCTCATTCCCCCTTCCCCTCCCCCATCTCCCATCCCCCTTACTCCTCTTCCCCCCTTCCAGACTCGCGCTGCATTGGGTGGTCGCGTCCCCCACGTTCGTGCGTTTTGCCCTGGAGGCCAGGCCAGGGAGTGGCGCGGAGAAGGGGTGGCTGGCCGTGGGGTGGAGCGAGAAGGGCAAAATGTTCCCCTCCGATGCCATTATCGGGAACACTGCAGGTGAGAGTGGGTTGGAGTGGGTGGAATGGGGTGAGGTGGGGTGGAGTGGGGTGGAGTGAGAAGGGCAAGATGTTCCCTTCTGACACCATTATCGGCAACATGGCAGATGCGAGAAAAGGGGAGGGCAGAGCAGGTAGCAGGCGAATGTTTTGATATTAAACCATGCCATGCCCTCTCCCCCCAATCCCTTGCATGCCATGTCTATTAGTTCCCACAGGCCATTCCCTCTCCCCCCACATTCCCTGTTTCCCTGTTTCTCCACATCCCCTACCCCCTGTTCCCCCACCACAGGAGGTGCCATTAGTGCTTACACCATCACAGGCCGCTCCCTCGCTACAATCTCAGCCACATCCGCCTTCGCCATCGGCGCCCCCAGTATAGTCACACTCGCACCATCGGCCAATGGCGTGCCGGCAGGTGGCGGCATTGGAGTGGCCGAGGCTCCAGTGGCCAATGGGAGCACGATTCTCCGGTTTGCACGGACCACTATTGATGGGCTTGCGCCTGTAACGCTGTCGGGTGGTAACCGCATCATCTGGGCCTTCTCGGCCGATGAGACACAGACTCTTGCAGGCCACGGGCCTCTCAACAGGTGTGTGCTGTAAATGGGAAGACCATTCTAGATGGATGGGGTGTCTGGTGGTGACTGGAAGACCACCCATGCAGGGGCTCTGCCCTGTCAATTTCAACTGCAATCCTCCCAACAGCCACGGCTCCGCCCCTCTCCCGCCTGCTCTGACATTTGTTTCCCTTCCTCTCTACCCCCCCCCCCCAAACCCCTCACTCCACCCCTTTCCCCTCCTGCAGGGGCTCTGCCCTGGTCAATGTCAACTGCAATCCTGCCAACAGCCACGGCTCCGCCCCTCTGCTGCCCGCTCCCCCCTTTTGTCCATCCCTTTTCACCCCACCCCCTTTCCCCCCCCCAAATTTCTACCGTGCAGGGGTTCTGCTCTGGTCAACTTGAACTGCGGTCCGGCCAACACCCACGGCTCCGCCCCTCTCCCGCCTGCTCTGGACGCCCCAGCCTCGTCTGCAGCACCGTCAGCGCCAGCAGTGACAGTGCCACCGTCAGTTCCAGCACAACCGTCAAAGCCGGCAGTAGCGCCACCATCAGCACCAGCGCCGGCAGCAGCAAAACCAGGAAAACCAGCGAAACCGGCAACAGCATCAGCAGCAGCAGTGACAGCTGCGGAAGCAGCAATGCTGGGATGCTCGCCCTCTCCCCTGGCGAATTACACTTGCTCTATGAAGCTCAGCGGCGACAAGTGAGTGATTGCGGTGACAAGTGAGTAAAGTGGTTCTGATAGTAACACAAGTACGTGCGTGCACAGGCAGCAGCAATGCTGGGATGCTCGCCCTCGCCCCTGGCGAACTACACTTGCTCCTTGAAGCTCAGCAGCGATAAATGAGTGGCTTGCTCTTGGTAACACGAGTATGTACAGTGTGCAGGGTAACACAAGCGAGTGAATTGTTAACCACGCAGAGCAACTGCCCACCGTATTTCCCTCCTTCCTTCCACCTTCCCCCCATCCCACCCCCCTCCTCCCACCCCTACCATCCCCAATGCAGCTTCATCCTGCACTGGAAGAAGCTGAGTGCCTCATCAGTCGCAATAGCAGCGGAGGCAGCCACTACGGGATTCCTGTCGCTGGGCTGGTCGCGGGGGGGACGCATGGCCCCTTCCGATGCAGCCATTGGAAACCTGCCGTTCGGTGCCATTGCCAACGGAGCGGCAGTGGGCGCGTTTTACATTGGCGGGTATGAGGAGGACGCGGTGGTGCCTTCGAGTGACTTCACGCTGACGAACACCGCGGTGGAGAAAAGCAACGGCAGAACCATTATGAGGTGAGTGCGGGGTGGTTACTGGGTTGTGGCTGGGTGCTTTGCTGGCCTGGGCGCGTTTTACATTGGCGGGTACGAGGAGGACGCAGTGGTGCCTTGGAGTGACTTCAAGCTGGCCAACACTTCGGTGGAGAGAAAGAATGGAAGAACCATCATGAGGTGAGTGGGGGAAGAACCATCAGCGGTTGTAAATGACTGGGTTATGACTCAGTGCCTGGTTGGTCTGGCTTGTTTTACATCGGTGGGTACGAGGAGGATGCGGTGGTGCCTTCGAGTGACTTCACGCTGGCCAACACTGCAGTGGAGAGAAGCAACGGACGCAGCATTATGAGGTGAGTGGGGGATGTTGATGGGTGATGATTGAGTGTCTGGTAAGGTCTGGCCTGTGTGTTGCTGCGGCCAATGTTGCGGTGGTGGGGCGTTTTACATCGGGGGGTACGAGGAGGACACGGTGGTGCCTTCGAGCGACTTCAAGGCCTTCTATTGCGCTCTTGCTGCTTGCTTCTACGCCTCTCTTGCTGCTTCTACGCCTCTCTTGCTGCTTCTACGCCTCTCTTGCTGCTTCTACGCCTCTCTTGCTGCTTCTACGCCTCTCTTGCTGCTTCTACGCCTCTCTTGCTGCTTCTACGCCTCTCTTGCTGCTTCTACGCCTCTCTTGCTGCTTCTACGCCTCTCTTGCTGCTTCTACGCCTCTCTTGCTGCTTCTACGCCTCTCTTGCTGCTTCTACGCCTCTCTTGCTGCTTCTACGCCTCTCTTGCTGCTTCTACGCCTCTCTTGCTGCTTCTACGCCTCTCTTGCTGCTTCTACGCCTCTCTTGCTGCTTCTACGCCTCTCTTGCTGCTTCTACGCCTCTCTTCACCTCACACTGTCCACCCCTCACTCTCCCTTTCTGACTTTCTGCTTCCCTCTGCATTGCAGGTTTGAGCGCTCCACAACAGACGGCACGGCGCCAATCAACGCGGAAGGCAGCACCGCAGTCATCTGGGCCTTCCATCTCACTCTCTCTGCCTCTTACCCCCTATCTCACTGCTCCTCTCTCTCTGGCAGGTTTGAGCGCTCCACAACGGACGGCACGGCGCCAATCAACGCGGAGGGCAGCACCACTGTCATCTGGTCCTACTCCGATCAGCCGTCCCTCAGCTTCCACGGCCCCAACTGGTGCGTTGCGCCTTGCCACGCCATGCCATGCCACGCCTTGCCTTGCCATGCCTCGTCAGTCCCCATGACGTCAAACCAAGAGGCGCGCATTAGAGCAGTGGTCATGCTGTCATCTGGTCCTTCTCCAATCAGCCGTCCCTCAGCTTCCACGACCCCAACTGGTGTGTTGCGCCTTGCTAGAGGACAGATCGTCACGTGTTGACGTGCGTCGTCTTTCCTCCTGACATGGAACCATTCGGCATCATGGCTCATGCAACCAATAGCCAATAGCCAGTAGCTCATGTTACCTCATGTAGAAAGAAAGCGGTGCTCATGGTGCATGGCATGGCATCATGCTCGCACTCGCCTACGCGCTGCTCATAACTCCTGCTCCCTGCCCCTCCCATCCCTCCCAGTGGTTCTGCCTCTGTCAATTTCGTGAACACCACAGCAGCCCCTGTCAGCACCACCACCAACAACAACAGCAGCAAGAAATCAGTGCTGCTGGCCCATGGCATCATGCTCGCACTCGCCTACGCGCTGCTCATGCCTCTTCCCACCCTCCCTCACCCTTTAACCTCCCCCCTCCCCTCTTCCCCTCCAGTGGTTCTGCCTCTGTCAATTTCATCAACACCACAGCAGCCCCTGTCACCACCACCAGCAACAACAGCAGCAAGAAATCAGTGCTGCTGGCCCATGGCATCATGCTCGCACTCGCCTACGCGCTGCTCATGCCTCTCGGGGTGCTCCTCGCTCGCCTCTTCCTCTACGACCGCCCCACTCTGCCCTCGGATGAAGACAAGGAGACGCGCACCAACAGGGGGCTCTGGTTCCTCTGCCACAAGTAAGGAGGGGAGGGAAGGCAACGGGGAGTAGGGGGGTTGAGGGAAGAGAGAGCGAGGTGAGGCGAGTATGAAGGGCGGGAAGGGGGTTGTTGGTTGGTGCTCGTGGCGCATGGCATCATGCTCACACTTGCCTATGCTCACACCAGTCCTCTTCCCTTATTCCCCCCAAACTTACACCTTCCATACACACCTTCCCTTCCCCCGTCTCCCCTTTCCCCTCCCAATCCACCAGGTACATTCAAATCGTTGCCGTTCTGCTGGTGCTCGTAGCAGCCATCATGGTATTCATCGTATCAGGTGCCCAGGGCCTGGAGTGGACGCACGGCAAGCAGCCCCTCTCCTCATCCCCTTCCTTTCCCCTCCACCCCCCTCCATCCTCCTCCCCCCTCCCATCCCCCCCTTTTCCTCCCCAGGTACATTCAAATCGTTGCTGTTCTGCTGGTGCTGGTAGCGGCCATCATGGTGTTTGTGGTCTCGGGTTCCCAGGGCCTCGAGTGGACGCATGGCAAGCTGGGAGTGGTGGCTTTGGCGCTCACCTTGGTGCAGCCCTTCCTGGGCTTCTTCCGCCCTGACAAGGGCACGTCCAACCGCCCCGCGTGGCTCACGTTCCACTGGGCGATGGGCATCGCGGCCATTGCCATGGGATGCGCCAATGTGTTCCTCGGGATTGACGTGTACGGGCAGCTCTACGGCGGCAACCAGGATGTGAGTAGTGGGATGGGGGTGAGAGTTAGTGGGGGATGGGAAGGAGTAAATGTGAGTGGGTGGGTGAGTTAGTGTGTGTTTGAGTGAGTGAGTGGGTGAGTTAGTGTCTATTTTTAGATTTGATTTTGGAATATTCACTCTTTGTTTTATCTCTCCATTGCCCTTGCAGTGGTGGTACCTTGTCACTGCCGTCGTGGCTGGCATTTTGGGTCTTGCTTATTTTGGCTTCATGATCCGAGACACGGCACTGCAGTTCTCGGCCACTGCGTTCAAATCTCAAGTGGTTACATCCGTGAGCAGGCAGCGACTGATCGGGTAATACTACTGATGGGTTATGGATGTATAGTGGTGGTAGGTTGATGGGAATAAATTGAGAAGCATTGTAGTGCTAGCAAGGCGGGTGCTTTCATTCCTCTAGGGTGAAATAGTGACGCTCAAACGCATCAGCGTGAAGCGGGTTGCTTCCTAGTGTAGCGAGTTCGTTTGGCGGCGGGGTGTTTGAAATTCGTTGATAACTGCCAGTTTGTCGTGGTGGGGGGCGCATGGCCCACAATTGAAAATGGTTGTCGTTTTCGCTGACTTGTGTGTCTGCATGCGGGAAGAGGCGTAGGACAAAAAGGGATGGAAGAAAGGTTTTGTATAGTACCACATAATGTTTTGGGCAGTATGTTCGTCATTTTCATATCTTTAGGCATTTCACTCGACAAAACCTATCAAGAAAGTTTTTGTGCAAAGCGGTGCTTGGATTAATTCGGACTGTACGCAACATTACCCAAAATGCACGTGATTCATTGGCTCAGAGAAACGACAAAGAGGACGTGGGCTAAAAGACACATAAATCACACTACTTCCCTCAGATCCATCATCACCTTCACCTAATTAGGTCTTTCCACGTGTCTTATATCGAATGGTTATATACATGCAGGTGCTGACCCCAATCTAACGCCAAATTTGTCGTTGACCGCAGTCAATTACTCTCGCCGCAGACTTACGGAATCTGGTTGCAAATCGTGGACCCGCCTGTGACCGTGTCGCATCGCGGTCACATCCTCTCCAACCACCGCGACGCGTCGCGGTCTTCTGTGAGCTGACCTACTTTTACTCCAGATCTGAAATCAGGGCACCGTCCGTCAACCCCTCGACTCACACACAAGCACACTTGACTGCTCCAGCCAGCTGTAAATTCCCCCAACATTGCACAATCACAAATTTCGCCCTTTCTTTCTCCCAACTCAATTCTGTTTCGAACGATATATATTTCTCAAATACACACACTGCACCAGCGCGCCTCTCCATTTTGAGCCTCTTCCCTCGCATTTTCACCGCGCAGAAATGTGAAAATGTCGGCCAACCACCCACTGAACGCAACCAGCTCCCGCAAGGCAAGCAGCAGAAAAGACCACTATTTTCCCACACCCTCATCGTCCTCTTCTCCACCCCGCCGTCGGCTGCAACAATCGAGTGAACACGCGGTTCCCACCGACCAAAATCCAACCCACGCGTTTTCGTCGCAACCCCAACTCCAACAAGCACGCCATGACCCGAGCTTCGTTGAGTCGTGTTGCCGCCGTACGCGGCGAGACGCTGAGCCGAAACAGACGTGTCTCGAGGAGAAAGAAGGAGCGGAGCCGCTCCAGCAGCAGGAGCAAAGGAGTGAGCGGCAGCTGCAGCAAAAAGGACTGCCGCGGCTGCAACGGATCGAAGAATACACACAACAACGGAATCCTAGCTCAACGACCTTGGCGTCTAGGGCTGACGTGGCATCGACGACCCTTTCTACGGACGAAGCGCGGGTAGAGTACGGACGACAGACGGAACGATTTGAAGCGCGGCGACGCACGACGACACTCCTGGATCCCCGCGATAGTAGTTGCGACGATAATGTCGCGCCGCGGTGCGAGTCCGCTGGTTTAGCGCCCCGCCTGGCGAACGATCGGCGCGTGGAGCATTGGCGGACGGATCGAACGCGGTACACGGAGCGAGGAGCGCAACGAGCGGAGCAGCAGCCGCCGCAGCCGCAGCACCAGCCGCATCAGCAGCCAGAGCAGCAGCAGAAGCGTAGGCAAGACGAAAGCGGGAAACTTTTCCTTGAAAGGGGCGCGGAAAAATTGGCGCATTGTGGCGGAGGCCAGGTTGGCGGAGGCCCGGTTGGCGGAGACCAGGGAGCGCAGCAGCAGCAGCGCGAGCGGGAGGCGGAAGGGCAGCGGCTTTCTGCTGCGCCGCTTCTGCTCGGAACGGGCGAAGCCGCGGTAACCAGCTGGACCACTCGCATGGCCACGTCGCTTTCTCGTCACATCGCGACTCGGGCTTTAATGCAGCGAGATCTCTGCAACGTGTATGATGATAGTTCGCCGTTAGAAAGCGACGCATTTTCGACCGTCCCCGCGCTTGTTTCTTCCTCTTCCGCCTCCCTCGCCTCTCCCGCATCCCTCCCCGTTTCCGTTTCCGTTTCCGTTTCCGCTTCCGCTTCCGCTTCCGTCTGCGCCTCCGCCTTTTCCCCGACCGTGTCCGCGGGGCTTCCGCCTTCCACCGTGGCCCCGCCGGGCGTTCCTATCGGCGGCGGCGGTGGCGGCGGAGGATTGTCGTCGCTTTCGCACGTTCTGCCGCCCCTTCCGTTTGTATTCGACGAAGATTCCTTACCGGAGATTTCCATTCCGACTCCGCGTTTCGCCGCCTCTGCTTCGCGAACGTCGCGAACGTCGGAACCGTCGCACGAGGGGGTCGCCGTCCCGCAGGCGACAGTCGGCGAGCTACGCGAACGTGTCGCAGCGTCGCCGAAACTCCCCGCTGGCGCGGCTTCCGCGGAGGAATGGGTGCGAATGGAGGCGGAGGGACAGACAATGACGGGGGACCAGCGGGGAGCCGCGCGCGGGGGAGAAACGGCGCGGGGGGAAGCGCGACGGGCGGAAATAGCAGCGCCAGGCACGGTTGGCGAAGCGGACGCGGGTGGTAACAGTGAAATTCGCCAAGACGAAACTGACGCTGCGGCGCCATCTAGAGAGCAGACGTTTGAAGTGTTCTGCAGCCTGCTCCCGTTACTGTACACCCCCCGTACAAGCACATGCCTTGCTGTGTCGCCTGCTGCCGCCCCAGGCGCAGTGTGGGGAGAAGGAAGCGGCGGAGGCGCCACTGCAGGGGGAAGCGGCGGAGGCGCCACTGCTGCTGGGGGAAGCGGCGCATTTGGCGCCCCTGTGGGGGGAAACTGCGGAGCTGGCGCCACTGCAGGGGGAGGCGCTGCTGGCGGCACTGCAGGGGGAAACGGCGCAAGTGGCGCCCCTGCTGGGGAAAGCGGCGTAGATGGCTCTGCTGCTGCAGCGGGAAGCGGCGGAGGTGGCGCTGTGGTGGGAAATGCAAGCGAGACAGGCATGAAAATCGCCGGACTGACTCAACTGACAGATGACAGAAGTGACGGATTGACAGCACTGGCAGGGACAGGAGGCGAGACTGGGAGAGTGACTGTAATAGGGGCGAGTGATGGAAGTGAAGACAAAAAGCCTGGAGCCGCACCTGAACTTTCGCCTGGAGAATCAGGTGAACGGTTGGGTGCACCTGAAGCTGCACCTGAACGTACTGCACATGCAGCCCCAGGTGCTGCCTCAGGTACACTCCCAGGTGCTCCTGCAGGTGCTGCCCTGCCCAGCACACAGAAAAAAGGCAGGGTGGGGCGATTGTTGTCGGGTCCAGGGCGAGATGCCACCTCATTGGTGGAGGCGGGACAGGGTGTAAAGGGAGGTGGGGGAGGAGCAGGGAGGAGAAAGGCAGACGAGGGTGGTGGCGGTGCAGCAGTGGTGGATGGGCAGAGGGAGGCACCTGCACCAGCAGCAGCACCAGCACCAGCACCTGCACCGGCAGCTGATGGTGGTGGTGGTGGTGGTGGTGGTGCTGCTGCTGCTGGTAGTGGTGATGCTTCCGCGTCTCGTGCAGCCATGGCTGCTGCTGCTGCGCCCACGCTGAATGCTTCGTCTGCTCCTGCTGCCGCATCTCCTGCTGCCGCTGCCTCTCCTTCTGCTCCTGCTTCTCATGCCCCCCCTGCTGCAGTGTCTCCTGCTGCCGCTACTGCTCGTGCCCCTCCCGCTGCTGCATCTCCTGCTGCAACGTCGCCTCCATCATTGGGAATGGACCTCCCACCAGACGGCTACTCCTGGCGGAAATACGGGCAGAAGCCGCCCAAAGGATCGTCTTTCCCCAGGGGATATTTCCGCTGTGCTGTTCCGGGCTGCCCCGCAAAAAAAACCGCCGAGATGGCTCCGGGCGGCGGGAGCATGGAGATTCTGTACAAGGACGAGCACACCCACCCGAAAGGGGCGGCGACCGGGCGGCGTGCCTCGGCTGGGCATGCGGGGGAAGTGAGAGTGATTATAACGGAGGATATGGGGGGTTTTGCACAGCTGGACGCTGCTACAAAGGGGGGAGGGAAAGGAAAAGCAGTGCATCAGACCGTTAATTCCCCTGACCATCGCCAGCTGGGGGCTATTTCACTTCAAGCTGCCTCTCCTTCCTCCTTATCTCATCCACCTCCTTCCTCCCTCTCGCATCCTCCTCCGTCCTCCCTCACTCGCCCCTCTCACGTGCCTCTCACTCGCCCCGCTCCCTCCCCGCTCTCCCCTCTCTCGAACCAAGCCTCTACGCCTCATCCCCCTCCGCTCACCCTCCCTCCCCCACAGTCACTCTCCTCCCCTTCGCTCCCGCTCTCACCGCACTGCAGCGTCACTGCCAGTGGCAGTGGGGAAGGCGCCAGCTCAGGTTACACCATCAGCAACGTCTTCAACAACCCCACCAGCAATGCCATCAACAATGCTGCTTCTCACACCATCACCAACATTTTTAACAACCCTGTTAACTGCAATCTCAGCAACACGGTTATCACCAGCAACGCCGTGAACAGTGGCGCCAGCTCAGGTTACAGCACCCTCCCGCCTCCCCCCGCCACCATCAGCAACGTTTTTAACAGTCCCGTTAACCGCAATCTCAGCAACACAGTTAACACGGGCGGTAATACCAATTTAGAGACAGCTAACGGCAGGAACCCTCGTGGAAGTAACCCTCCTGGCAGTGGGGTCCCCGAGCCTGGCAGTGGGGTCCCCGAGCATGGCATTGGTTTCCCCGAGCCTGGCAGCATGGCAGGCAGTGTGGCTGCTGTTCCCTGCTCTACCGAACCTGCTCCTGCTACTGCTGCTGCCACCCAGCTCCCGAACCAGGCTCCAAGCCTGACCCCGAGCCTGGTTCCGGGCCACAAAGCACCAGCAGCAGCAGCAGCAGCAGCAACTGCAGCAGCAGCAGCAGTGCCTTCATTCCCTGCTACCCAGCCCGTCCCAACCT